ATAACTATTTTACCTGCGATGGCACCCACCATTTTGTGATTTTATAGAACACAATCTCAATATTACTTGCATAATAAGGTAATTATTTACATGTGATTAAACTTACGTGCCTAACCTGATGATGATCAATTTTTATCGAAACATGAACATCAATAGTACAAAAAAACTGCCCCACTACTTTCCATGTAGGGGGGGGAGGAAGTATAGCTCCTCTCTTTCTTGACCTCGGCTCTAGATGGGGTCAGTGGTCAGCGACAAGCCCCGGCCGGTTTTACCCCCAGGGAAAGGACCCCGGTACCCATTTGATAGGAGGCTGGGTGGGCCCCAGACCCGATCTGGACGCAGAGGCTAGAGGAAAAATCTCTACACCTGTCGGGGATCGAACACTAAACAGTGAGTCACTGACTCGGCTAGTAAATAAAAATATTAAATAGTGGTGTAGGAAGTAAGACAATCTGGAACTGACTTTGTGAAGTGAGGGTGGCTTAGAAGATAAATAACTTCGAACATAAAAATGTCGTATTACACAGTTTGACTGGGGTGGTTTAATTTTGTTTTAATTCTCATTGAGTTATTTATGCGTATAATTTTGTACAATACGTTGACTAAATATGGACAATTTGATATAATTTTGCAAACAACTGAACGAACAGAACTGTTACCTACAATATCTCAAGGCATCGGAGCCAAATAAAACCACAACGAGCTTATTTACCTTCGTCTTAACCTCGAACCTCGCCACACGACTGAACACCTTAGCGGCCATTACGATTCTCTTGGGTATTCCTAGCTTGATGGCAGATGGCAGCACATACATGACCTACGAACAGAACACCTGCACTTAGCAGCCACTGGTTTCAAGGTGGGGGTCGCGCGAGTCATGTGAAAATAAATCACGTACACAGTCAAATTACGATAATGCCAACCTGTGCAAGAAATATGCACCACAAATGCACGGACGCTGGAGAAATTTGAGTAACGTAAGTTGTACTCCTCGCCAAATATAATTAGACTGACCAAGGCAAGGAGGATGAGATGGGCAGGGCATGTAGACCGCATGGGAGAGAAAAGAAATGCACACAGGGTTTTGGCAAAGCAGAAGGAAAGAAACCACTGGGAAGACCTAGACATAGGTGGGAGGATATTATTAAAATAAATCTTAAAAAATAGGATGGGTTGGGATGGGGACCAGTGACGGGCTTTTGTGAAAACGATAATGAACCTTCGGGTTCCATAAAATGTTGGGGAATTTGTTGAGTCGCTGAGCGACTATCGGCTTCTCACGAAGGACTCGGCTCCATGGGCGAAGTATGTAAGTAAGACACATCGATTTTACTTCGGTTTCTCTGGGCGGACGTCCTCGGCGTAAGGCGCCTGACAATCTTGCCAAGTTCCGTGATGGAGCATCCCCGGTATGGCCGGAGCAGGCGACGCCACAGCGTCTCGACGCTCCTCCTCGGGCACCCCGTACATCTGCAGCTCTGGACATAATTCAGTGCATCTCCGTGTAGAAAAATATCCGCTCTGCGTATTAAATTAAATTATAAACTGAAATCGACTGCGTACAGAGAACGTTTAATGTTAAATAAAGGTCCGTTTGAATTTTTAGGCTCATAAAAAGACTTCATTTTAACCGGTCCTTTTATGAAACTGACAAAATTATCGCTAATTCATTTGATTGTCTTAAGGATCAGAAAAGTCAGTGTTTCTGCCCACAGTCAATTTATCTCCTAAAACCCACGCACGCCGACTTTAAGACAATATCAGAAGTGTTTTGTTAAATTTAAATATACCATGTATATTATATTAATATTAAATTTTATGTGAAAACTCTGCTTAGTGTCGTATGATATAGGTAACAGCAAGGTACGTACGTATAAACACTACGCATGCGCGCTTAAATTCCTATTCCATGTTTGTGCAATAATGACGTAATGGACCAGAGAAGATCTCGTTATAAAAATCGCTATTAAAATCATCCGTTCATAAACGTCATCTCGATTTTTAACATTTTAGTCTTTTTCGTGTTAAGCAGCGTATTTTAGGATGCAATTTGATTTCAGTAGTGTGCGCAGATTGAGTCTTGCGTCTGGCTGTACTGAGGAACGCAGAAATGAAAAATTCTTTGTGCAATCGCTTCCGACTGTTTTCCAAGCGACTCGGGCTCTTTAGCATTCGGAGCTCGTCAAGAACACACACACACACACACACACACACACCAGGTCCACATGACTCTACACAAACAAAAGCACAGCGCAAGAGAAAAGGTCAACACTGAATTGGCATGACAAGAATTCACCACGCGGTGGAATTATTTTGCGATCGTCGTCAAATTGATAAAACCTGCACGGATGGTACAGCCTTCATTTGTCAGTAGTCCTGAGAGAGGGGGGGGGGGCAGGTCCACATGACAAGAAAACTTACTGCATTAACCATCTGGCGCAGAAGTAGATTCGTCGTTCAAATAAAAAAGAGAATGTTTTTGCCTCGCAGTCATGAAAACGCTGCAATGTAGGGATATCCGAGGGCGAAACCTAACCTAACATTTGGCAGTTTGGATAGCAAAATTGTTTGGCAGGTTGAAATATAAACAGCTCTGCCACTAGCAGCTACACCTAGATTTTTTTGAGGTTGATGTTGATACTGAAAAGCTTAAAAGATATAAATCTTCAGGTATTTATAAAAATTCTGACTGAATTAATAAACGCGACGTTCGGTAACTGAAGAAAACAGCGTTAATTTCGAGGTTAGCATATAATTCCTTCTCGTTTACAAAACAAAACCTGTTCTTTCCACTCGAAATATTACAATCTACGTTCATATAATTGCAATTACAGACTCTTTACATCCACAATGAAACTGTATGACGTTCTTAACATTACAAAGAAACAAAACAAATGCTTTCTCCTCTCTAAATTTTTCCTAAAGGAATCTATTGGCATTCGTCTTGTAGCTTAATCCCCTGGCAAAAGTATCGACATTGAAAGAGGGCGCACCGAATGTGATGTCATCGCAATGAAAGTGTAGAATTTGATAAATGACTAATTACGCGACATTAATTCGATCCGGGCTGCTAAAGAGCGCATGAAACTTCTCCCTTTGGGGACAATACCCTCCGCGGGAACTACACTTTTGACAAAAATAATTTTATATTAATTCTGACGTCATATTAGTTCAACAGCGACAACACACCTTCGACGTGGGGCAAGAGCTCCTGACCAACTCGACTATCGATCCTAGAAAGCGGGCACGGCTTCAGTGTTACGTCGCCAAAGAACCGGAAATGCTTCGTGCTGTGCTTACAGCGAATCTAAGGCGCTGACACTCGAAAACTTTCTTGTGAGTATTGATCGTGAGCTGGTGGCGACACGAAGGATGGAGATTGATTTGTTATGTCAATGACACCGAATAGTTTACAGCCCAAAAAGGCATTGGAAATCTCTCATACCAGTGGCGATCGACGGTGGCCTTGCAATGTTCCACCATCGGTACGACACATCGCTCTTGGGTATTAACAGCGCCGGATTTGCCAAGCGGGAATAAGTAACAACAGGCTTATGAGTACTAGTGTTCAATTTTTTTTTTTTATTTCAGATTCCAAGATGGCGCTCAGCGCGTATGGGGAAATCTCAGGGCTGTCGAAAAACCGATGTAATGTCCTCCTCTGTATCTGTTTGTACCCCTCGATTCAATATCACTACCATATCTTCGTGTTTACATGCTGACCGAGGCACAGCTCCAAAGTCAAACCTTTAGCGTCCTCGGCGTGAAATCTTCGGACGGCGAATTGGACACTGGTCCTCTGAAGCCAAGGTGCTGATGGCAGTCTCTCTAACCACCCCGTCGGGACACCTCATGATAATGCCATCCACCCACATGGGACTCCACAGGCGGTGACTTCTGTCCCCCTGTTCTCGTGGAGCGAGAGGGGAAACATGAGAATAAAAGAGCAGAGTTGGAAACCATACACAGCAGTTCTCCTGTGATTCCATTGCTCTTAGCAGGAAGACAGAGTCATGCCGCCTCAGGGAGTTGACAATTTCAGTCAACCCACGGAGGTGTGCGAAGATAATATGGGGAAGGAGCTCACCATTTGTGATAAATACGTTTTTACTATGTATAGAGACCACTCCTCTAGGAGACAGTGGCTCTGACATGTCACAACGTGCTGGTGTTTCAAGCAAATTTGTGGGTTGGAAGCTAATAATTCAGGCGTACTGAAACAGAGAGGTGGCTGCTGTAGAAGACTCGTGGACCAAGGTAATCCATAACGTCGCCTTCATGTATAGGTTGTTTCATCTGACTCGGATTAAGTGACTGGAATGCCAGAGTGAACTATCCAAGTCAACTGAGGCCCTGTCCAGTTTGCATATAAGACCTAGTTCTAACAAAACTCTAATTAAAGAGGTAAATATTCTCTAATAAAACAAGGGTTCTTTAACTTACAGCTTCTCACAATTTCACCATTTGGATATGCATTTTCTGAAACCAGGTGATTATCAATAAGGCATTTTTTTTATGGTTAGAAGAACGGACACGCACGAAAGATCAGCTATTGGTCGTAGTTCAAAGTTTGCGTAAATGGGGATCCCGACTTTAGTTGGTCAATAGTTTATTCGTATTCTTTACATAGTCAACACAAAATTCGACTTTTTTTTATTCAGAAGTGTTCTCTTAATTAACCCGTTATTGCCTAATCCTGAATTTCCAAAAATGTATTTTATATTCCTTCATTTGTCTCATAATTTTTGGCCACCAGTTTTTTCAAGTTACGTGTCAATGCATCCTGTACGGCAGAAGTTTGAAAAGAAATTAAAACAAATACAGAAATTCAGAAAATGGAACGCTTCGTCTTAAAAGTAATCACTGGATACACAGAAACTGTAAATAAAGGACTAAAATCTTAAACTTGAAGCCGAACACTGGGATTGATTCACCACGGTTTCAAGAGAAGACGTAAAGAATAATAATAATAAAATAAACCAATAAAAACTCACAGATTCTCCCGAGTAGATGCTGGGAGGGCTGTCCTGGCAACCACTCATGCATTTTAATAGAACAGATTTTAAATGTTTATTTTCACTTACTAATAGAACAAATATATTACAAATACGAAGCAGAGGGTAATCTTTGGTTAGGTGTAGAAACAAACAAAACACAAACAACAGTCACTTCATTACGAACTGAAAATATTGGTAGTCATTCTTATTGGGAAAAATGTCAAAATTAAGTCGCTTCTTCCAGGATTTCACCAAATCAGCGCTGATAAATGTTAAAAAACAAAACAAGTTTCATACAGCATAATCACCCAGTCTGACCCAGAACTGTCTGCAGCAACAAGGAACACCAACAATTCTTTTGTAACCACGCGAGTTTGAACCAGTGGTCTGTGGTCCAACTTAAATTTCTAAAACATTTTTCATTTTTTAAATAAGATCACACAAATAAAGCTGAAATCATATTTGTAGCTCCCTAATAAATAAAAAGATACAGCCTGTCTCCACTGCTGCAGATGATGGCTTCCTGCCTCCATCACCAGGGTAAATGCCTGATGATGGAGGCAGCAGGGACCTCTGTAAATTTATACAAGACTACACAGCGCTACAACCCAGAAGATAGCCATCTTTGGACTCACTGACGTGAAAACTTCAAATTTTAAAACATGTTTGCTTTTAACGATGGCGAAACAAACTGTAAGGCAGCTCACACACAGAGAAAATTAGTTTATGAAATTGATTTCATAAAAATTAAAAGTGGTTTCATAGAAAATAATTTTTTTTTAATTGGTGGTCACACACAAAGTCAAATGAAATGATTGTTCTAACGAAAAACTCAACTTCTCTGCGTAATAAATAAGTGCAGTCGCCAGAATTTACCTTTGTAAAGGTGGCTGCGATGTAAGAATTGGCCGGAGGGTCGAAATCCTTCCAATGGGCAGGCTGCGTTTCCCGTCTGGCCGGGCGACGACATTATTATGAAGGATTCCCCAAACAACAAGTCAGCCTGGGGATTACCCAGAGTCCAAGGCACAAAAATGAAAGTTGGTCAGGGATTCACAACCTTCTCGAGACCTGGTGCCAAATTCACGTCTCATCATCAATTTGTGGGTACCGAGGACACGAGCGATTGCCACTTGTTGAAATTCCATTGAAATTTATTAATGACCAAATTAGGTATTACTTCTCTTTAACAAAATTGGTCACTTGGGACGTCCCTGAAAATTTACAATTTCAATCCAACCAATACGTAAAAATATTAGCCCACCTTGCACAAAACAAGTATTACTGACCTATTTAGCAACAGTTGTACATAGGAAAGCAATTTAAAATTAATAGATTTTATTAGCATCGTCATATATTACCGCCACCGCCACCATCATTACAATAATAAATTGAAATAATAAAATAATTACATCTATTATTTAAGTGCTTAAAACTGTCACTAGTTAAGCAAATAAAAATACGTGTGTGTAAGATGGACTAAAATTTCTTACGTTTCCCAGATTATTCTACTAAACGGCGTCAAATTCTGTTGTTGTTGTTCTGTCCTTGGAAGTCAATATTAAAACAAATCAAGACGTCCTTTTAGTTTCATTTCAATCACAATCTTGCAAAATGTACTTCAGTTCGAGGAATTTGTACCGACGTCAAAATAATTTACGAGCTAGCAGGCAGTTCGCTGGTAACAAGCAATGAATGATCATCCAACAGAAAAGACCGCGCTATCTCGTAATATCTGTACTGTTCAGTACATTCTGCATGTTATATACAGAACGGCCGAAAATATACCTACCAAGTTTTGACGCTTTATTTCCACTGAATCACAAAAGCACACGAATCCATTAAAATCAGCGTCTCACGTCATTTACATTATAATGTGCCCAACGTGTCTTCACTCAAAGCTTTTAAATACCGGATTCAGATCTTCCTATTGAGCGTCTGAAACTAATCCCGTCTCGGCAAATTTCTCGACGAGGATTCAAAATGTGTCAAACTTCACCTGGCAATTTCTGGGTTTTAATATAAATGAACCTACTGTTTGATGGTGAATAACCACTGCTCAATACTCGTTTAAAAATTATAATCACTCATTGGCGAGTTAAGTTTGAACTTGGCAGGTACATTTTGGACCAAACTGTGTACAAAATCAAGGTCACTTGCCATTCAGTTTTGATTATTTTTTAAACAAATTCAGCATTCAGATTCTAAAATTTAAAGACTCACAGAGTAAGATCTACAGGGAAAATACTCGTAATTCATTTCCACAGACATTATAATTAAATTAAAAACATACATAGCTAACTGTCGCTCACAAAAGAAAATGGGAATTAAAATATTTACAGTGACTTTATAATAAACCTTCAGCTGAATACACAGCAACCTATTATTTGGACAATGGATGTTTCACAAGCATCAATAAAATATCACAGAATACTTCTATCTTCTGCTAAAAGTAATACATCATAATATAACAATCCTTATGAGATAAATAAATAAATATGTCATTAATGCTCTTATTAAACATTCTACAAAAGGTTATATAATGTTATTTATTATAATCCGCCACTGGTTTCTACTAGTTTTATAGTGTATGAAATGTTGCAGTATATAACCATAATTTCAAATCTCATATTCACCCAAGCCCACACTCCAGAAGGAACCAACTACTTGGTTAGGTTAGGTTAGGTTAGGTTAGGTTGGATTAGGTTAGGTTAGGTTAGGTTAGAATGCTAAACTTTATTGCAAATAAAATACCTCTCAACCTGTTACACTACATTAAACAAGCCGACATTTAAAGAAGACGTGATATCACAACTTCAAAGAATTGCAAAAAAGCCTAATGGGGACGCGCAGATTACACAAACTGGAGAAGTAAGAGACTCAGCTAACGGCAAATTGTTCTGGTCCACAGATTAGCATCCGACACGTAATTTACGAAAGAAAAATTTCTATTGTTCTTTGTTGGTTTTTACGGCTGGAGTTCATTGCACACCTTTGGCTCTTGAGTGAGAGCTGTGTCAAATATTTGGTGTTAATCAGGAATTTGGCAAATATTGCAGGTGGGGTCAGATCAGAAGGCCTTGTATTGCGCAGACGGTGGGTGAGATACAAATTCGATAGTGCTGACTGGCGGAGCAGAGCAGCAGGAGACGAGCACATGGTTAAGGAGAGGTGAGAGGAAAATTAGGATGAGGGGAAGAGGAGGTTCCGGTGAAAGGATTTGCAGCAATTAAGTGGAAGATAGTGGCAGCTGTTCGATGACAAGCGTTGGAGAGGTGATAGTATACTCACCCTTTCGAGGGCTCAATACAATCTATGGTTTGGGAATAAATAGAAAAAGCCAGGCTTTGCTTAGCCTGTAGTCATTTTCATGGTTAAAATTTGTGGGTCTTTGGCTATTTTGAATGCCTCCCTGATTATGCAAGGACGGTAGTTGCTGATGCTAGCAATGACTTCTGTTTTGAAGCCAATGAAACGTCCGGTGGCTGTAGAATGCTCGGCTACTGTTGATCACTGGCTTTCCAGTCTCCTGGTACATTCCACAAACCAGCCATCACATACCCACAAGCATTATGGAACACATAAGAGACTCCAGACTGGTGAACCAGCAATCGGCGATAGCCGAGCACTCCTTCCCTCCTCAACCATGCACTCATCTCCCATCGCATAGCACCCCACTCCTCTTCTCCGACGATCAACACTATCAAATTTATATTGTGCCCGCAGTCTGCCCAATACAAGGCCTTTTCAACTAACCCCACCTCACACCCACGTTGAAAATGGTAAGTGCAATATTTGCCAAAAACTTTGGTTAACATCAAATAATCGACGTGACTGTCACCTGAAACGTGAGTTACACACTCAAATGTCGCAGTTGGGCTTCAGGGTTATGTGATGTGGTCAGCCCTGAAAACGGTGGCAGCGTGTTCCTCCAAAATCTTGGTATCTACGTACAAGATCACGTAGTGTTACAACCCAGAAGAACAATCACAACTTATCGCCATAACAACCTAAAATCTCATTGGTGTTACAACCCAGAAGAACAATGACAACGTATCGCCATAACAACCTAAAATCTCATTTTCCAAATGTTTTAAGATTTGTGTTCATATCTGGTCAAGCAGTCTTCAAAATAAATTTTATGCTTGTAGAAAGTAGCAACTTTGAAAGGATTAAAACATGAAAGCAGCGGGGCTTCCGTCCCTGGCGCCAAACTAGCTGCAAATAATAATTATTCATTATGTACAACAATATTACTACTCTACTGTTAGCGCTGCTGTTGGTCAATAAATTAAATCAATGTCCGCAATACTCGCGCTTCATAGCCCTTTAAAGTGTGCGCAACACTTTTCCTGTTAGTAATTTGGTAATGCAAACTGTTTTACTTTGTGTTCATTCATAATTTTCACATCAGAATGTACGAACAAAATCTGTTCTAATAAGATCTGCATAAGAAAGGCAAAGCAAATTGTCTAACACTTTCATTCTGACTAGATTTGTCAAACTTCATACAGAAATATTTTCGACAAAGTACCGCGTCCTGCACTTTCAAGATCATAGCCGCCCGCTAAGAACTGAATCTACGCAGTTCTGCTGAAATAATTTTAACTGCGACGCCCAGAGCGCGCGAGTAACGACAGTAACTTTTGTGGGGACCGACACCTGATGAAGTCTAACAAAGTCAAAATGTACAAAAAGTGTTTTGTATTATCAAAAGCTTTCTACAAAATTAAAACAACACGCTCTCCTCCCAAGTACATGTATAATATTGACCAGAATGGATTTTGCTTTAAATACAAGTTTAAGGTTAGGTTAGCTGAATAATATGGTACTGGATTTTAAATTACCATTCAATTCTCAGACAAAATTCTGATCTAGTTTTGTGTATGTACACAAAAATCAGATAATTATAAGTTTCTACTTGAGTCGCTCCCATCTTTATGACGAATGATCTTCATTTTGTAGCAACTCACTAAGACAAGTAATGAAGAATTACTTGGAAATTGTGGTACAATGAACACATGTGCATCCCAGTTACAATTTAATCATAGCTCACCGATGGTTTGAAACTACAAATGCGACATGTTGGCAAGTAAATCACTCTTGCAGAACAGGGAGGCCTCAATCTTGCATTGCGACCTGCCATACGATAAGATGACTGCGTTCGCCCCTCAATTCTCTATCCTGTTGCTGAGAACTTCCCATTGGCTCCGTTTCACCTTCCAGCTCATCCTCTTCCCCATCACCTGAAAAACAACAACTTCATATTATGTATAAAGTGAAGCGTTCGCGGCGACTGAGGTTTATGAAAGATTCTTGGGTTACAAGCCCCATCAGGTGGCTGAACGGTGAATAAACCATATCTTCTGCCGACGATCGGACTGGTTATTCAACAACTCTGAGGATGAGTGTAGAGATTGTTCTTGAAACGTTGGCAAAAGATATGGTTTATTCGTTGTTCAACACATCTTCTTGTTATCTTATCTGCGTGTCCAAAACAGAAGCTGCATAATGGTTTCGCTAAAGATTGTTGTCAACATGTTTCACACGGAAAAAAGAGCAGTACAGCTGTATTTTAAGCTACTACATAATGAGATGTAAATATAAGATATTTAAAAGTTGGCATATGTCAGTAAAATTTCATTAACCGAGGGCAGATCCCAGAAACTTTGTGTACTGCTACTTTCAACAGCCTATGAACAGCATATTTTTTAGAAGCAATTTATTTTTAAAAACCAGTAAGTGCAGAATCTACTTTCAACAGCCTATGAACAGCCTATGTGACGGCATATTTTTTAGAAGCAACTTATTTTTAAAAACCAGTAAGTGCAGAAAAGAGTGCCTTGATTGATGTGGACATGACACTACACAATAGTGACAGGAATCGCTGGTCAAACATCCAGAAAGCACCAACCCCATTCAAACAACATATAAACAAAAACATTTATGGAATTGTATGTTTCTGGGTGTATAATGGTCACTGGCACCTTTGATACTGTCCTGTAACTTGTGAATTTCAAACTCCACACACTGCGGAATATTTAAGAGTTTACGTATGGCATCAAATGAGAGGACGCCTGTGAAGAAACTGTCTGTGGCATATATTTGGTACTAACAAAGAATTCTCCGGGTGGGAGCGAAGAAAGTGACAGGAACTTCAGTCAGGATAGTTGAATTCCCAAGCTAATAATATTAATGTACTAACAAGATGGCTCACAGAACCCGAAGGTTCATCATCGAACTAACCAAAGCCCTCCACCGGACCCTGTCCTGGGCCACCAGTCTCCCTTATCTCCCATAGATCTCCCCTGAGATTATCCTCCCATCTACGTCTAGGTCTCTCCAGCGGTCTCCTCCTCTCAGGCTCTCCGACCAATACCCAGTGCACACCTCTTGTCCCATCCATGCATTCTACATGCCCCACCCACCTCATTCTTCTCGACTTAATCACCCTGACAATACTGGGGTTGGAGTATACAATTTTAAGCTCAATATTAACAAAATACTGTAGAGAAATGCTAAATTAGTTACTGTACAATCAATTGTGGAATAAGGCAAAGTCAATTAAGAATATAAGTTTAATACAGAGCACAGATTAAAGAACCAAAAACCATCTGACACACAATGAGTTAAAAACATAGCCAATCAGTAAATTTATAGGATTTGAGAACCCTGATGATGGGGACAGAGTCGGTTCCCGAAACGTCGGTTTACTACGGTAACCAGCTGAAGCGGCTGATTGCCCGAGAAGATTTTATTAATCAGCAAATTGTTTGCCGTGGCACTAAAATGTGACTTTGAAATAAAAATATGCCTAGAAGTTGCTGGTACATCCTGCAGTGTTCTTTAACCTGTGCTGAACGTGAAGAAACCAAACCACAACAGATACTAGCAAAAGTTTTTCTGTGTGTAGTACTTTATTTATGCTGCATACCATAATTCTATTTGCCAGACTACGAGGTGGCTAGCTGTGTCTTCAGCTTCCTCTGCATCATCCACTGGAACGGATCAAACACCAACCACACACACAAGAAAACAATATACACACAAAGAAAACAAAAATAAATCATAACACAGTGTGCGGACATGCGTCTGAAACTAAAGCTACTTGCACGGCATTTCATTAACGGCCAAAACATGTCTCCCGCAAGCCAGTGACCTGCTGCAGGTTTCTGCTCAATTCACATCTTTTTAATATTTAAGTAACAAAAATTACGTGGCCCAGTTTCCTCCAGAATTTGATGTGATCATCCATACAAAATATTTTTTTTGTTTTTAGGCACACACTGTCACTTTCACAATGGTTCAGTCTGCCATGATAAAAAAGTATGTAAATATTTAATTTTTACGTTTCAGCCAAGAAATTGTACTTGAAACAAACAAATTAATATTAATGTTATCCAATTTTAAATTGCCTGCTGCAATGGTTTCCAATCAGGAAATTATAAACAAGATCAAAGAAGTGTAAAATTATTTCTCACAAGCAAGGAAAATAAAAAGTGTGAATGAAGAAAAACAACACAATTCCTTAATTTTTTATCGCACTAAATGTACGATTGCAGAAACTAAATATGAAACTTCAGACTACGTATAGCAGTTGATAAAGTCGTCTACAAACAGCAAACACTCCTGCAGAATGTATGTTATGAATCAAAACTGTGTGAGATGTACTGTACCTAATTAATAAGCAATAGTGCCTGAAGGTTCAACAACGCTAATCCCACTTCTGGACTTGATCCTGAGATAAGTTTCATCATCATGACTGATATCCCTAATATCCGCATCCATGTCATCTTCATCTGAGCATTTCAAATTGACGCTTTAAAGATTCTGTATGCATTTCTTGACGTCTCAAACTACCTACATGTCCAGCTCATTATATATTCCTCAATTTCATTATGCTAATAACAGCAAACATTTGTCTGATAACAAATCAAAATTACACTCCAGTCTGATAAACTTAAAACTTTAACGATGCCAACGTTTCATCAGGAACTCAGTGCAAGTCCTCGAATGTACAGGACTTGAGACATATAAGAAATAGAGGCTTCATATCAACTAAACAGCCACATTTTAGACAGAATAATCACATTTCTTGAGAACAGATCTCACGCATTAAAAGAAATGAAGTCGTTCTCGCCTACAAACAATGGTTTGTATCAGCGTCTTGCATTTTTGTAAACTTGATCAAAAGCTGTATCACAACATTAGGCAGAGGATTTAAAAGTAGTTTCAAGGTTTGTCTGTGCTGCACCAGCCCCCAGTACTTTCAAGAAATTAACGCAAATGTCAACTTCCTGGTACTTGTCAATTATAAACCCGTCAAATCACATCTGACGGACATACAAATGTTTCCAATTTTGCAGACAACTGTAACTTCCAAGCAGTCATCCTTCATTAGCCATTCATAGCAATAATAAGCGCGACAAAATACTTCAAAACCAAATTTTTAAATGAGGTTTACGCATAATAAAAAAGTACATTCAGGACAAATGGTGACATGCAACACTGCAGGACATTGTCCAATTGTGGTTCACAATCAAACTTCAATATAGAAACTAATTCAATAATTGAAGCTACAAAGATACAGCGCAGCACACTGGAACAGATATTAATACCACAGAGACTAAGTCTAAAGTTAATAAGTGAGAATTACCTTCTTTTTTTTTAAGCTATACTCTGTGATTTTCAAAGTAGCAATGAACACAAGGCCGTGAAGTTTTTCGGTAACTTTATCTGAAAGGGCAAAACTTAACTACCAATTTCACAGCGACAAATGGTTCTGAAACATTTCGATATATACTTTGTAATTATTTGTATCCAATTTCTGCCTACATTTACATTTACTTACAAATGATACGATTCATTCTGAAACTGTAAACTCTAAATTATATTTTGCTTTCAGCTGCAAATGGGCAGCTTCACTTCACAAAATATTCAGGATTCTACACAAAGGACACAGTTTACAGTTACGTTTTATGTTAAAGCACTCCACAAGTAGGCAGTATTTTAGAAATATCGATTTTTGTGATATGTGAAGTTTATAACGCCTGAAAATTCCGGATCTGAACCTGTCTTTTCGTCCAACTGATATCAATTTCAGTGTTCCAGACTGAGGACAAATGCGAAACTGATGAATTAACTAATAACAGTATAGAAACTCTTTGATCACAATCATACACATGCAAAGTACGGAATGCAACAACATACACAAGCAAGCACTAACATCGATAGATGAGTTAGGGCCAACCACTACGACAGCGACAGAAATGAATACCAACATGCGTAAAAAAAAGTATTAAATAATTAAAAGCAATATTGGAACAGAACTCATAACGTAAACTAAGTTACAGACAAAGTCACAACCCAGTGACACAATAATCAATTTTGAAACAAAACAGCTTAGTAACACAACCAACGACCAATAACAAACATGGTGGGACAAACAAAAATTAAATCTACAAGAGAATAAGAGCAATGGAAGGAAAGCACAGGCTAGACAGTTACAATGCAGTAATGCGTTATATTAAATAATGTAATTACTGTAAAAGACGCACCCTCAAGGATCCTTACAGGGCTGATAAGGTGTACTATGCTTTGCTCACCTATTTAATGTAATTATTATTTAGTGTTCTGTCTGACGACAGGTCCATCGTTCGCCAGTTTTCCCTATTCCCATTTAATGTAATATCACTCTTACATAAGATAATATTCTAACAAAATATTTTTTAAACATTCTCTAAAGTTTTATGTTTTAAGAACAGTATATTTGTTTCATAGTTGATAATTTAAAAATTAATAATCATAAATTGCACACAGTTCAATGCAGTGGTATTATGAAAAAGAGAACAGCATTAAAATAGAAGCTGTACAGACACATTATTTACTATGCAGGGATAACATTTTTCAGTATTCTTCCAGATGACATTAAAAGTTTAAATCGTGATAAGAAAATATTTAAGCCTGCACTAGAATATTATCTTCCATCTCTCACTTTTAATGCATAGAAAACTTGACTTCAGTTGAAAATTATTAAACACCAAGTGTTTATATAAACAGATGCAATAAAAATGCTGTTTTGGTACTTAATTGCATTAAGTATTCATTTTCCTACTACAAAGGATTTATAGTAAGTAAATAAATTGTAATTACAATTCTGATTCAAAACCATCAAGGGGCAACACATTAACAAAGACTGCTGAAATGCTGCTACGTTTGCAATTGAAACTGGAGCATCTTTGTAGAAAGACGTGCGTGGGCGTGGGCGCACGTGCGTGTGTAAATAATTCAGGATAATTGAAAAGTCTTGCACCCACATTAAAATACTTATTGAGAGTTGCAACGCAATATAATTTGACTGTAATGAAACTGAACTTATCTATAAAAATGCAAATAAATTGGATATCATTACACTTAATATTAATATTGATGATAATGATGATGACGACAACAACAACAACAACAACAACCTTCCCACGATCTGCGACCTTGCCGCGGTGGGAGGGCTTCTGTGCCTCAATGAACCTGATCTGGCATGAGCGTAAGCTCCTGGTAGGGTCACCCTTGCCGGGATGGTCGAAGGAGAGAGGCCGGATTAAAAATAGACCACATCCATGTAAATGGAGATACCGGGAAATGGCCACTGCCTGGGGAGTGCCAGTGCTGGATGTGACAGTTACCTATCCACCAATGGAAGGATGCTGAGTTGGCGGGTTCTTATCGGCGAAGCTGAAACCACTACAGACAACAATATCCAAGAATAAGAAGAAGAAGAAGCTGCACCTACTGCCAGTGCTTCCAATGACGTAGTTCAGTTGACCACCACAGCAGGAAAGAGAGGACAATGCATGCAATGGACATCTAATATGAACAGAGACATAACGCACCGCTTCTTTAAATCTACAAAACTCGAAACGGATGAATTCCTATCAAACAGAATTTCACCGACTCTTTATCAGTCTGTACCCTTGAATCAGTGGTAAACTAAGCGAGCAAAATGTAGACTGAAAAAGAGCAATAATCACTAACGGTATGCTCTCTGATATTGAAATAATGCAGATTTACGAAGAGGTAAGAACAGAAATCAATATGACACCTGAAACACCATCCGACCAGGGAAATGAGAACTACTGAATCTCTTCAAAGTGCCTTCGAACCTCAAACCCTCTATGCACAGTGCTAACAAGCAGAGACTGCGCGACCTTTTACACCTCATGCTACATTTTTCATAGTTTTTCTGTTTGTAATTCCAAATTGTGGCCTTATCTCATCAGAAATGCAAATGAATAAAGTGGTTATTTAAGAATTGTGCAAATTGTAGTTTTAGTGAGAAAACTAAGCAAAGCTACACAGGGAAAATGACTGAAGCCTTTTAATCCACTCTTTGCTTTACCAGTTTCAAAGAAAAAGGTGGCCACAACTCACATTTTTAATCAAAGTATTTAAAACTGTTCAAAAACTTAATACGCAGAAACTATCAGGGTATTTAAACCCCAGTACTGAAGGAGTTACTGGTATATTAAATTACATGCAAGGTTATGTAGCGTTGAGATCAACATATCTGTCGACATGGCAACTTACTGAGTAGGTGTATGAATCTGTAAGAAATTTTCACTGGGTTTCTGAACGAGTTAAAAAGCCACAAACATGCAAACCACATGGACAATGAGAACTGCAGAACACATAAACCTATATGTTACCTTTTAAATGTATTTGTTCAGTCTAAAGTAGTGTTTAAATATGCTGCTCACCAATGCGGAAGTCAATGTAACCCTCGCCGCCAGACATCACTAACATAGACGCGGGCTTCTTTCGTTCCAGCGCCTCCAATTCCACGTTCTGTAAAAGAGGTGCATCACTCATCGCTGCAGACAAACCCCCAGAACCTGTAACATCAACGACTATGACAGGATACGGAAAATGAGAATCGTATTCAATGAGCTCAACGATTAAAATGCGAAATATCACATCCCAGCTGAACACTGAGTAGTCGATTACGGCGCTGTGCTTTTCAATAGTAAGGCCATCTTCAATGCATGTGCAGAGACTACAAGGTTCTCATTTGGTGGCACTGACAAAGGTTAAGTTTGTGATGGCAGTTCTACATTGGTTTGATATTCTGCATGGTATAGTAGCAAGGGTTTCAAAATGCAATTTCCTGTGACATTGCCCCCAGCAACGCAGTTACGTGATCTTTGGCAGCTTCAAAACCAGTAATTTTCTTTACCCTCTCCTCCTGTACCATTAACATTAAATACTTGTTTTGCCAAACATCCTGTACATGAATTACATCAATCAGCACTTTACGGAACACATTGACTGCTACTTTATTAGCATTAGGAGCTTCGCTCATTATTTTTCAAAAACAAACAAATTTTCACAATGTGAATTTGCACGATGCTTACTTAAATCTATTAACCCATCTACGACCGGCAACTACACATCCATCCATTTCACCATTCTTCACTTCCAAGCCTTAACGGACATAATAATTCTTACATCTACTAAAACAATCCACAGAACAGCACTTTCAGATAACTTAAAATGTCAAATTTTCCTTCAAGCTAAATTATTTATCTTTTCATGAATGCATAAGAAAGCAGACGGAGTAGAACAGGGTCAATGTTGTATTATGTACGACAAATCTACCCGAAACTTAAACGCACAAAGTCTGTTCCTAAACAAATTTGCTCTAAATAATGACATTTGTCCTCAAGATAAAATACATCTCACGAATTTTGTTACTGCTAGCACAAGCACAATTACTTTTACGCTTAGCAGCCGAGAGTTTGGGGGCAAGAGTAATGTATTTTGTGGAAGAAACGTGAGCAACATTCTATCAACACAACAAAAGATGATAATGCAGAACATGCTGGCAGAAGGTATCACTGCAATATGCACGTGCACTCCACCATGTACGCAGTATCTGCAGACCTTCTTCTTCTTCTTCTTCTTCTTCTATGGCTCTCCGGTCCGTATTCGGTCCATGGCATCCTCAATTCTCCTCTTCCATTCGGTCTGTTAGGTCCGTCTGTCCGAGGCTTTGATCGAGGTTCGAGACATCTTCCTTTTTACGGTGCAAGGTTGATAGCCTTGCGACCAACCCCCAACCTGGAGGACCAGGGTACCTCTCCCCCTCGACCAATCTGGCTAGGGAGGCCCTACCAGTAGCTATGCTACCGCCAGCCAACATAAATTTCTGCAACTTGGAATTTTTAAACTTTTAAAATGTATTTTCGGAGGTCTTCATGTAAAGTTGGATTTGCATAACTTGGTTAGGGTGATAACATTGCATTTGGATGGTATGAGAACTTTCAAGCCATATCTCATACCTGGAATAGCAACGAAGAACTTCACAGCATCTCGATGGCCGTGAAATGACAACTGGGCCTGCGCCATGGAGCAGTATGGGATGAAACTTCCAGGCGTGACTCTGCTACCCGAGCTGTCAGCATACACGCGCACTACTCCACCAGGCATATTCCTGTGCATTCCTTGTAGATTGCTGCTGTTACTTCTGGTTCCAGCACCTCAGATAACAAACAGGAAAGTAAATAACTCTTTGATCGTGCAATATTTCAACAGGAGGCAAAGCAGAAAATAGGTTTATTTCTTTAATATCTTATTACTAGTCGACAGGTCAAGAAATTACATACATTTATGGACCACGACGTTATGCCGCGTTCACAGAAACCTGCCAATGGCAAGCTGAATCAATTTCACATTCTAACATCCTATTTCTCCTGCATCAATTTCGAGTCAAAACCTATGCTTCCGAGAATAGCCATCTCCAAAATGTTGGTTCTTGAGTCAACACTGATATGACTGCTCATCCTAGAGGATTTTATAACATTCAAGTTGATGATTAACTGGAATTGCTCTTCTATGGTTGGGAGAGTTATGGACATGTAGTATACGGCGAAGTCATCAACAAACAGGCAACGGAGCGACGTACATTGCTCGTGGTTACATTAATGGCAATGGCATATAGGGTAGCACTGAGGACTGATCCCTGCGGATGCCATTTCCTTGTGAGCCGATAAGACGGTGCCAAGCCAGATTCAAAATTGTCTGTTGGACACTGAATATATGTGAAAAGATTTGCAGTTGACCTATCAGTTTCCAGTGATAAAGGGTTCA